GTAAATTCTCCCAGGGGAGGGTCACGTGGGTGCCTGGTGGTGACCGGATGGAGAGCCGTGTCGCGCACTGTGCACCGTCCGCCAGCGCCAGCAATGCACCAGCCAGAAACTCCTCCATCCCGGGGCCCCTCCGGAGTCCAACCCCATGCTGCCGTTAACATCCACCCCCCTCTTTCTCTCTACTACTACTACTCTTTTCTTCTCTCTCCCCCTTTCTCCTCTCCTCTCCACAGCATACAGCTCCTGTGCGTTTGATTTAACCGATGATGGATGAGAAGACGGGGTAGGTAGGAGCGCAAGAGGGGAAGACGAAGGGGAGAAGGAGGAGGGTAGTGGTGTTTCTAGGCCCGGGGGGTGAAGGGGAGGGGGTCGGTTCGCCCGGTCCCGCATTTCAATCTCCAATTACGGGAATGTGCGGTGATGCTGCGGAGCTCGTCTGAGCAGAAGCCACGCTGTTCAGCATTTGAATCAGGTCCAAACCTGATCATAATAAAACTAGTCCTGACTGAGAGTGGTGCCCTGTGTATCAACAGTCAGGTCCCTGTCAGTGATTTCAGTGAAAGTGTATGGGGCTAAAAATTTTAGGGGTGTCAAACTCATTTTGGTTCACGGGCCACATACAATCAAATTAGAAGTGGGCCCGACCACTACCATCATAACCTAATTAACTATAAATAACAATATCTCCGTGATTTCCCCCTTTTCATGCTAAGAAGTACATTAGATATGTATTTGTATTGATTCATATTTAATGAAATATATATTCAAAAAATATATTGACTAGAAAGTGTGTATTTTTTTAATATTCAAAATTCATCGAGTGGGCCGGATTAAACACCCTAGCGGACCGGGTTTGGACCGCGGGCCGTATGTTTGACACCTCGGGGCTAAATTGTTCTAATCTATAAGAATAATACAAGGACAAACACTAACACAACTGAAGATGTACGAATTTTACCCTTTAGGTTTTACAACAGGGACTTTTAATTTGAAAGGGAAAAGCAATAAGGTCTCTATATCCGGTGCAAATGTTTAAAAGTTAACATCATGGCCAATCTACGCAACTTGGTTAGAAATGAACGAAAAATCGCGGCCAGAAAATAACGTCATTTTTAAACAAGAACTATTGACATTTTTTCTTGTAATTTTTTTTCATCTGCATTTTTACTGTACAACCCATCTTATCAAAGATGCCTATTCTTAATAGAATGCCGGAAAAGGTAGCCATGAATGCAAACCAGTGACACCACACTGACACACGTGTGCGCCGTGACGCAGAGCAGCTGCGGATATCCAACATGCTGCGCACCACGACTGTATTATACTAATGGATAGAGGCATGTTACTTTTAAAAAAAAAGAAGCGTTTTAGGATAAAAAGCAGGTCCCGGGAGAGCAGACTGCTCACATACACACATGCACACGCAGAGCACAGCTGGAGCGCGCAGGAGAGCTTCTCCAAACAGGCTAATTAGATCTGCAGCTCTGGCCCTGCGCTCTGAAAGCAGCCCAGCGGCGGGACGCGCAGAGCTGTGGAAAGTTAATTCAATTAAATTCACTCTAAACTAATTAGGCTGCAATCTGCCACGCGAGCTGTCCCTGAGCAAGGTTCGAATTAGGCAGAATGGATTTGTTCCTTTTCTTTGGGAGAAAGACGCACAGACATGCTTCTTTTTTTTCTTTTTGGGCTGGTCCATTATATGTCTTTTCTGTAAATTCTCCCAGGGGAGGGTCACGTGGGTGCCTGGTGGTGACCGGATGGAGAGCCGTGTCGCGCACTGTGCACCGTCCGCCAGCGCCAGCAATGCACCAGCCAGAAACTCCTCCATCACGGGGCCCCTCCGGAGTCAAAGCAGAGCCCCGTGTGAGGTGACCTGCTCTGCAGCTAGCTGCAAGCTGCGCGGAACGAGGAGCTTCTTCAACCTGCAGCTGGGAGTGTAGTGAGGTAATGGAGGTGAAATCGATCGCTCTCCTGTAGAGTGGGTGGGTGTGTGTGTGCGTGTGTGGATAGGGGAGAGGGACACGGATGAAAATCCTCCGTTAAGAGCAGGGACAGATATGATAATGGGACAACCTCTAGTAGTCGTTCATCATTCAGCACCTCCACCTGCCTGCTGCTGCTGCACCTCGGCTACAGCTGCTACTGCCGCTGCTGCTGTGATACTACACGAATTCAACCTGTGGTACGCAGGCAAAATGCAGCCACTGAAGCACAACCTAAAGCCCACCAAAACACAAAAAAAAAAAAATGCTTTTTTTTTTGCCATGCCACAATAAATGACTGAATATAGTTGTATTCATCGTTGAAGTCCTCAAGGCCAAACATTTCTGATGACAAAGTCTTAAATGAAAAGATTTATCCTTCATGTTCCAAAAACAAAATCTGGGAAAATCCACTCCTTTTTTTTTTTTTTTTTTCTTTTTGTGGTTCAGAATAGGTCTCAAGAGCCCCAGCAATTTCACCTCTACATAATTGTTCATGTTAAGGCTTCACATCTTCGGAAATTTGGGACTTTACTCAGACTTTACGCCAACTGAGACCAGTTTTTTGACATGCAAAAATCACACACATAAAGGCTAAAAGGCTAAAATGCTTTTATTATTATTCACGCCATCTATTGGGGAAACGTAGGTATTGCAGGGAAATAGGCAGTATAATGATATATATATAAATATATATAAATAAATAAATTATATAATTTAGAAACGTTTGGCGGGTCAAAGTCAAAATCGTACGAACTGATTGCTGACCCTAGTGCAAAGACCGGCTGCCAACAGCCTATGAAAAACGGCGTTAGGGTTACAGTTGAGGTTAGGGAGATGTGGATTTGTTGTGTCTTGTGTGTCTGTTTTGCAGACAAAGGACATTATTATTTCAAATACTTCTCTTTCCACCTAATACACGGCACGTTTTGGTGCAGTAAATGGTGAGCGAATCCTTCGACAACAGCTGAACTCTAATGCGGTTAGAGACAGTGTTTTGTGGAGCTTTATTTTATACTGTCATCAAATCGTCATAAATCAATAGATAATCCCTTATTTCTCACCCCGTCAACTGTATTTTATGCAATTAGACTTTTTTGCACCCCCCCCCCCCCCCCC